TATCTCCCACTGTTCTACCCTGATGTTGGTAGCAAATTGAAATTGTTCTGTTTTTATTCCTTATGATGAGTCTGTCTTTTGCCTTCGACCTTTTTTTAAGAGGTGAAAAGTCCTCCCAGTCCTTATTTTGACTAGCCCTTTTTGCGGCACCGTGGTGCTCATTTAGGCACTGGGCCTAAACCATGGCAGACAACATCACAACATCCAAATGAAAAAAGCTTAGAAAGTCTAAGGAACATGATTTTGCCAAAAAAATTGTACTTCGTATTTAACATACCAAGCGATTTTTTTATGTTGGCCAACAAACCACTTAAAATATTCACTTTGCTAAGGACAAAGGAGAAGTGAACTACAGACAGTATCTGCTTTTTACACAGGGAACTGGAACGCTTCCTGAAATTTTACATCACAAGATGCCAGTTTTTAAATCAAACCTGGTGCATTCTAAAGATTAGCATTTTCTTATGTGACATAACAGCAGTTCACTTCAAAATTTATTCCTTCAAATTTAAGCAGTTTGATCCAACAAAGTCACAGCAGCTCCTGAAATGAAACATGCTAACAAGAATAAGGTAGTAACACTTACAGGATTGTTTTAACTGCTCATCTGCCTTTTGAGGATAAATTGGGTGCCATGAGTAGTCAATCGTAAACACAACACTCGGGACTGTCCAGCATTCAACCCATCCAGCCCTTTCAAAAAGAAACATCATACATTTATTTCAAGTACAACAATTTCATTAGATATTTTACATTAACACATGAGGTTGCTTTCACCACAAACAAAATTAGTAAATACGAAGAGCCAATATAAAGACATAAGTATATATCACAATAAAACTCACTCTTCTTGAGTAATGTTCCTCCATTTGGGTTTCCCTGTTTTCTGACCACTTTGACATTCAGCAGAAATACAAGATTCAGGACTTATTTTATTAGGCTGACAATCTTTCACCAACATAAAAAGGGAATATTTACTAGGATGACAGTCTGGTAGATACAAGTGAAGATCAACATCTTCTCCCTAAAAATCAAACATTAGTAACAGAAAAGTTAATTTACATTCACTTCATGCATAATGTTCATGCTATTTGCATGTTTATATGCATCATCATCTTCATTTGACTGGCAAAGTGAGGCAAGAAATGTCAATTTTCACGTATGATTGCTGACCACAGCTCCCACCAATTTCTAGTACAATCCCAAGAGCTCTGTAGCTCTGAAGAGTTACAAGTCCAGCAACATGCACAGAACAACACACCATAGCAAGCTGTGCAACACAGGGGCATGGCTTTCAGTGTTTCCTGTTCTTCTGTTCAAGTCATACTGCAAAAGTTAAGTGACCGGATCAAGGCAACTCTACATCTCAACTAAAACATTTTTTAAAAGTTAGATAAAACATTGCTTTCTTTGCTATCAAATTATACAAAATTACCAACATCACCATCAACTAGTTTTTATTTTTAGTAGCAGTAGATTGCTTCTATTTTAGGAAAGACAAATCAAGAAGTACAGTCTTTCAAAGAATTAGCAGCATCTGTTAGAAACACCTTACCATCATTGCTTATTCTACAGAAACACTTAAAAAACTAAAAGATGGTTTTCCAAAATGGTTTCGGGGTGCCCATTCCAGAATTTTATTTTTATCTTTGAAAATACATTAGATTTTCACACTTTCTAAACAAATGGGAACAGACTTCCAAGTGACCAACAGTCTAAGTATATATAGTAAATAGACATACTGAATGTATGTATACATGTATAAAGCATACGTGTGTGTGTGTGTGTATATATATATTTTATTTATACATATATATATATGTGTGTGTGTGTGTGTATATGTGTATGTATATGTATATATAAATTAAAACAGCCTGTGATTGGATGCTTCATACAAGAAACAGAAACCATTTACCTCTAGGTTACTTAAAGAAAAATTCCATGAACCAGAAGTGAAAGAGAGCATTTTTCTTTTCAGGAAAGAGTTTACTCAGAACTTCCTGACTGAAGAAGAAAAGATAGGGAAACTATCTCACCTTTAGAAGACACAAAAGGGGCAAGGGGAGAATAACTCACCCTTAAAGAAAATCTAGTATTGCATGTGGTTGGAACAAAGTCAGTGAAAGGCAGAGAGAAAACAATGTTCAATGTTTCGCCACAAGCTGCAAGATAAACTGGGAGAGAAGAGGAAAAAAAAACAAATCAACAAATCTGTCAAAACTGCTCACTATTTTGTTCTGAGACAAATTATCAGATATACAGGTAAAAAATAATGAAAAGATATTCAAGAACCCATGACATCGGAAATCGCCATTTTAACTACTGTGTATTTCAAGTACGTCATACTAAATTATTCTGAATTTATTTATTTTCCGCAATTTGTCCTTTATAGGAAGACACTGTACTTAGCACAATAAAGTTGCAAGCAGACAATAAGAAGAACTCTAACTGATATCTTATGACTTTATTGCTTCAAACAGCAGTTTTTGGACAAGAAAACAAAAGTTGAAAATTCCTCAGGCTTCTGATAAAGTTGTGAACCTTTTTTAAACTAGAACACAAATCCATGATTTTAAATCCGTCCTCTTTTTATGTTGAAATTCTAATATTCAGTACAGTGTAGACCACTGAAATACATATAAATCAAATAGCACATTAAACAAAGTTCTGGCTTTCTGAAATCTACTATTTAGTTTTGTCTAGAATTAGCAGCATTATCTCCTATTCTGAAATGAAGAGGAAACAGACATTTCTAGTTATGCAGAGTTCAAGTGATATTTTTCCAACATTACTTTAAAAATGTATTCCTGAGTGAAGATTTTCATGAGCTTACTGAATATATGTCAAGACTCCATGGCTGCTCTTTGCAAACTGTTGCACTAAATTCAAGATTCAAGGGGCCCTGAAAAACGAATGCTGAAAAAAGATCTAGAACTGTACTCCCCTCCTCCCTGCAAAAAGTATGTATTTGAGTGAAGTAGATTAGAACTTACAACAGTTTCAGGATGGCTTATGCATATCAGCAGTAGCAAAATGGGTAGTTACTACATTTTTCTAGTAAAAAATTTATAATTCTTATACTCTCTGTATATACATTCTGTATTTTGTACATATTTTTTGTTGTTTGTACTCTTCTTTCAAATAAGTGATCTCACCATTTTCTTGTTGTTTAGTGGAACAGTCAATCCAGTTGTGCTGATTTGCTGCCCAAATCATTTCAAATTGATGAAACATGACTTTGAAGTTCCACATATAAGGAACAAATGAAAAGATATCAGGTGCGCTATCACTGGACCAGTCTTGGATCAAATCTAAAAGCACATTAAGTTACAAAAGACAAGTTAGTAACATTGAAGTGTGAGGTTTCTTCTTTTAAGTTTTTTGCTTTTCATCAATTGTAAGTCTTAGCCCTTTGCTCCTTTACAGAAAAAGCAAAATGAGGAGAACAATATACAGAACCCATTTCTCAGACAGATATTCCACAAATACTTGCTGTGAATCCATCTCCCATTTCTCACCTGCTTTTCAAGTTGGAAAGTCATAGGTTTAATTAAGTCTTCTAGTCTAGTTTTGTTCAGTAGCAGTTACACATTGACCCAAAAGCACTGGACTACCAAATGCTTCCCTTTGGTTTTCTGCGACAGTCTGAATGTGTACATCAGTAATATTTTCTACCACATCAAAACAGTGCTGTAGAAGCTCAAGTTTGCTCTGAATAGATTGGTAGACTATGCTGCGTACTGCAGCACTATCAAGATAATGGCTCCAGCCTCACTAGGAGAATAACTTTATTAGCATGGCACTATGCCTGCACAAATTAATCCTTCCTCCCAGCAGGGCTAATTAGCCCAAGCAGTGCCACACTGATGGGGCTGTATTTTTTCTATTACTCCAGCTAGAACATTCAGCATGAGTTTGGTGATGCTGTGTCACATTGTACAGGCTTGTGTGCATGTATTCTTCCTTGCAGACAAAACTGTAAGGAGCAAATTACTTTCATCACCTGTCAGCCACAGGGACACATCCTAAAGCTTAAGTAGTTGCAAATCAGTCAGCCAAAGAAGAGAGAGATATCAGAGAAACCAACATCCTAAGTGACAAATATTAAATAAATCATTAGCTCCGATAAAAATAAATTCATTTGAAAATTAAGATAACATTACTGCAGATAAGTTCAGCTTAGATGTTAGAAAATTATTTGGTATCTCTACTCAAATATAAGAATATAATGTACTTAGACACTTACAGGAAACAAACCGTCAGAAACCTTTTCCTCAGAAACAATTTGTCAACCTAAACACATGAAATTTGAGCACCTGACCTTGTATACCTTTGCAAAATTTGTAAAGCAATTGTAAAAAAAGAGTATTTAATTTGGTACGCAGTTTACTTAATAAATAAGTTACCTGTAAAGAAGCTTTTCTGGGCAAAGATAAAATGATAGGTTGCTTTATAAACCTCAAGCTCGCATTGCCACGTCTGGGGCATGTTCCATATCCGGGGATAGCTGGCATTAATATGAAACTGTGAATTAAAGCATCAGATTTACTGGAAAAGATTACAATGCTTGACCCTGCAGCCCAGCAGTTTTCACATATGTATTCTGCTGAATAATTAAAACTGTTTTCCTGCTGGGATGAACAGAAGGTCTCTCCAGCTCCTTAATAATTTAATCTCTCTTTCTGTGTTTGAAGGTCAATTGTTAGTATATTCATTTATTTGGTAAGGTATACTACAAACTCCTGATACATCTGTTGCAGTAGACATACCACTCAATTTATAAACCAAAGTTTTCATTAGAAGCATCACATTTCAAAATACACGAAAGATAAAATCCCTTAGAATATAATATTTTCAACCATTGATATGATGCTCAAAAACTAAATATTAAAAGCATCACTCTAATAAGGTAATTTAAAAACTAGTGACAATAGTAACCTAGACAATTACAGTATTACAGAAGTGAAAGACTAGGCAAACAAAAGAACAATGCAATATTAAGTGTCTCAAGTAGTTTAAGCACTCTGAAGTACTTTGAAGCACTTTTAAGTACTTATGCACACACATTCTGTAGCACAGCTACTGAGAGTAATAATTTGTTAAGTTAAAGCCTATATGAACACATGGCTACACAGTAAACAAGGCAAGATTTGTAAAAGGCACTCCAATCCCTCCACTGCTTTCTACACAACTTGGTACATTGTCAGTCACAAAGTTACATACGTGCACAGTTATCTGCATATACACAAGTTCCTTACATATTAAGGTCTTACATAATACATTTACTAGGCATACTTCTGTATTGGTTAAAAATCTAAAGAACTACTCCACAGACAAATAATTATCTTTTTAATTAAAAATTCTCTAGAGATTGAAGCTTTGTGTTTATTAATGCCAACTTACAGCCAGCATTTCAGCTTCTAAGAGAGTTCGGTACTGCATACTGCTGGTGGCATCAACATGTAAAAGTTGACCTTTAATTGTAGGTGAATAGCCTAGCAGACAAAAGATACAAAGCACAATCATTCAGACATAAGAGTTACATAAATATTGAAATAGTTATCAGCAGTGATGTCAGCAGTCCACAAACATTCAAGAAATATCACAATGGAAATCAGAATCATAGAACATCTCAAGTTGGAAGGGACCCATAAGGATCACCAAAACCAACTCTCTGCTCCTCGAAGGACTAACTAAAACTAAAACACATGACAGGAGCATTGTCCTGATGCTCCTTGAAGTCTGACAGGCTTGGGGCCGTGACCACTTCCCTGGGGAGCCTGTTCCAGTGACAATATTACAGTCTGTACTACAATAATTCTGTCCTTTATTGTTTTTCAATGAAGAGCTTAACATGTCCTGCCTTCACATAGGAGGAATAATAGAAGTCTTCTTGCTGGGTCTGGAAACGCTCATGTTTTGGAGATCTCTGTTTGAGTTGCAGAATAAAACTCAAATACACCAGAAAGAATCAAGAGAACAAACAATTTCACAGAAGACTTCAAACCAGACAAGATGATGAGTAAATCCAAGGAACATATCCATAATACTACATTTATCTCAACTTCACCCTGGAGTTTGTTTTGTTTTAATGAACCCCTATTAAATTAGTTTTCGTAACACATTTCTCAGTGTGCTTCAAGTACTACATTAATCCTACTGAAGATGTTTTCCTGCTTTGAGTTGACAATGTATATGTAATCTGCTTCAATACACACACTGCTAAATGATACACCCTCTAATAGTTAAGGAATTTGCGTTTCCTAACCCAAACAAAACACAGAGGTATCTTAACTATTTAAATATGTACATGCATTAATATCCTGCAATGAAACGTACAAGGAAATACTTTTTGTTCTTTTACATAAGAACATACTTCTCATAGTTGCAAAGGAGAAACGCTACAAGACATTCACACATACAGGAATTAGGATATCTGTTCAGGAAAAACATCAGAAAAATTAAGTTTAGCCTTAACTCACCATTTTCACCTACTGTCATGGGAATATTTACTTCCAAATATGATCCTGCACCAACATTTACATGTACAGCATTAGTTTCCTATATTGCAAGAAAGAAAAAAGTCCAAACATTATTTCTAGGCCCACAACATCAACCAGTGTACTTTATGTCTCTGGCTATCATTATCCACACTTGGATTAAGGCAGCCAATGACTGGATTATTTCTCGCCTTTCAGAAAAATTACTAATGAACTATATATGTGCAACAATACCAAATAACACCATTTTTAGCTGAACAAACGCTGACTTAGCTCCATTAATAGAAACAGCGTAGGATATCCTGATCCAAGGCCTGAGAAGGCAGACAAATATCTATTTCTAACACTACATTTCTTCACACTTTCTAATCCTTTCAGTCACAAAAAAGAACACAGGTGTACAACAAAGTCACACTACACCCCATTTATAAAAGTACCAGCAGGGGAATCCCTACACATACACATCTTTCGTTACTCCCCCTATCATCTCTCCAGCAATACTAGATATTCATTCAGTATCAGAAGAAATTATCTTTTCATCATGGTGAGCTTCATCATAATGGAAGACTGCCCAGGAAATGTCCAGCACATACTGCCAAGACCGGAGGAGCTGGCATGGTTAAAGATGCAGCTTTAATGCTTAAAATAAACTTAAAATAACCCAACAAATACTAATGACTCTAAGCCAATATTTTTCTTTGAAGGGTTTGTCCATAATTACAGAAGATTAAAACAAAAGTCGTCTAGTTTTTAAAACCATAGTTCTGTAATCACCTGAGACAAGTAAAACAATACACATCAAAAAGCACAGTGTAATCATAGTAGATAAATTATTTTCCATATAAGATTTTATTCTTTACCCTATTTTTGGTAAAAAGCAAATCAATGGTGGCATCTGCAATAATATTCATCCGCAGCTCAAAAGCGAGGATCTGTCTCGGTTTTCCAGGCTGAGCAATTTCTGAGACTTTCATAACTTGGTAGTCTGGTGGGAAGAAAAACTTCCACAAGCAATCCCTAGTGAAGTGGAAAAAAAAGTTGTTTTTATTCACAGAATAAATATATACATATATTTATATATATTTACAAATCTATCTGGTTCCACTATTTTCCACGTAGCTGAGTCTTTGGACAACTACTGGATGTAATAAGAAATAACGTTTGTTTAAAGTTGTCATCATGGGAGCCTTCCAGCTTGTTACTGAAATCTCCAAAAGTTTCAATGATAAGAAGTGACTTTCGGATAAAAGCCATAAACGGTCAGACCATGAATGACTTAGAACAAAATATTCTAATTCAAATGGCAAACAAGCTATGTTTTTCTTCTTATTCCTAATCTTTGGTTTGCAAATCTGCTACAAAACATAGTAGGAAGTAATCTGTTTATGCTTCAGTTTATGCATAAATAGCCCAGAAATAAACAAAATACAAAACTTTGGGACATCAGAATGGGAGTGAAATGAAGCCTACATTTCTGCAGTCTCTATCTGAAGATGTAACTACATTAAAGGAAAGCCACAGTGATGGAGCACAGACAAACATAGCTTGTACAGTTCTCAAGGGGGTAGAAGCAAGTTTTAAGCGGGGTAGCAGCTCCCTGCACCCAGCACCTGACCATGACAGCAGCTTAAAAGTACAAAAAAAAAAAAAAAGAACAAAAAATCCCCAACAACAACCAAACAAACAACAAACCCACAAGCCAAAAAACAAGAATAAAAACCTCCACAAATGCCACACAACACACACTGCCCAAATCCTGCGGAAACTTAATATGCTATGCAATAAAATCTTGAAGATCAGTACTTCTGTAAACTCTTATATGAATTAAGAGTACAAAGTCCACATAACACCTACAGATCTGTGCTTCTAAAACATTCAGGCACTTTCCAAAATTCTATCTTCTATCCATGGCACAACGCAGAAGTGTTCCCAGGAATGTATCTATGAACTCTATGCCCTCTGCACAGGCATCAAACTGCCTTATGTCTAGCCAGTTAAAATTATAAAAAGCGTATCATCACAGGGCTAGCTCTCTTGGTAGTATTAAAAATACCATTCATGTTCCTAGCAAAGCACTGTTCCAGAAATTCACATTTCCTCTTAAATTCTATCATATCTAATGACTACTTTTTGGTCTGCCATCCTCACATTCCTAAGAGATAGATAATCTTAGCAGCTTCACAGGAGAATTAATGGAGGCCAAGAGAAGTATCAATCTGTAATTACTGGGGGGAAAAAAAAGGGAGAGCACTGATTATGTCAGTTTTACTTAATAGTCCTTTACTCTCTAAACAATACTATTGTCTCCACCAGAAATACTCAAGCGCAAAATGTAGAAAGCTAAGTGAAGAATAGCAGTGAGCTCTGGCCTAATATTTTGTGAGTAGAATATCTAGATAATAAACATTTCGGAGACTGCCTCAAGTAGTCGACTCTTCTAAGCAGCGACAAATTATTCCCCCTCATTATTTTCATAGCCACATCTGCACTTCCATAAAATTTTCTCATCAATATGCAGTGTATTCCCATCCATGAGCTAAGTCTAAAGGTAACATGACAAGTCTAAAGTTAACCAATTAAAACATTAAACCCTTAGGTAACACTTGATAAATAGTAAAACTACTTTGTTCACAAAAAAAAGGAACATAATTTATTAATTTAACAGTAAAAATTCACTGAGTGAATCACTAATTTTGGAAGTTAAACAAACTAAACAAGATAAACAACAATTAATTGACTAATCCTAAATCACTGTGGCAGGATTCTTCTTTTAGACTGCCCAACCTACCCCATTCAACTTAGAAATCTGAGCAACCACACACTGGAAACTTCAGAATGTTTTCTCAATAACAAAAGATATTAAAGATTAAAACTGCAGATGGAAACCATGATAATACCTCTGCCTGTCAGCCCAAGGTCCATAGTTGAAATCTGTTCCTTTTCCACAAACAATGTCCAGCCCCCAACATGGTGGCAGATCCTGCAATTTGCTGTCTTCATTGTTTGCTTCTCCATCATTACTTTCTTCAGTCTCCTCTGGTACAAGACCTACATTATATAATGTAATAAACAGATTATTAAAGGAAGTTACTTCAAATTAGCATGAAAAATGTTTGCTAAGCACAAGACAATTAAAGCGATGTCAGTTTTGAGACCACTACAGTATGTGGATATCAAGCCATAATTTAATTTAATGCAGACTCCCAGGGGAAGGGCAAGAATATGACCAAAACTCCTTGAGGTTTTCTGAAGTGCTGCTCACTGATGTCGGTGAGATGCTGACACAAACAGCAGTTTTGACTCTTAGTTATGCTTTTTACCAATACAAGCTTTTATGCATCCACATTCAGTTCTAAATCCTATTTACAAACCAAGTTCTGAAACAAATAAGATTAAGTTAAAATCATTTCTATAGACAATGCAAGCAAATAAAAGGGAATAATTACTGGACTGGGCCCAGAGTTACTAGTAAAAATTAAAGCAGTCATTCAGCAATAATCCAAAATTGCCACCTATCCTCCACCAGTACACATCGTTATTGAATGTGCTGCCTTTGTTCAAGATTCAGGGAGTCAGAGCAAAAGCCTTTGCAAACCAAAAAATTCTAGCAAAATAAAGTGGTAATATAATGCACTGGATTTCAAGTGAGAAAGAGAGACACTGCAATACTTAGAAACAGACATATCAAATAAACTTCCCAAAAACTCCAGTAGGTATTGACTATAATTGTCCCTATTCCTGAAGTACTTTTGAAAATGCGTATCATTTAAGTTTAGAGCTCAAAACATAACTTGTTTCAAGAAAAAAATATAAAAGATTAATTGCTCCCATGTTGCATATAGACTTGTGGAAGGCACTGCTGATAGTGCTTACCTCTATATAAAAATACTCCCTGGTAAAAACATCAGTTCTACATGTACAGTTATTTCATCTACGGAATCCCCCACGCCTTTCAGATGAAATGGCCTAAAGGCTGAAAACAACCATAAAAAGAAATGCCGCTCCAAATTTCACATCCTCCTAAATACGAAACGCATGAACTCCTTCCCATTTTTTTCAGAGGAAGTTTTTTTCATTTACAGAAAAAAAGAAAGACCTAGTAGTAGCACTTATAAATGCTTTTATTGGCCCCAAAATACTAACTCTTTCAGCATAAAGTTTTCTCAGCTTACAAAAAAATAAGAAATTGCATAGCAAGTCCAGACAACAATTAAAAAAATAGCCTTCAAGTCCCTTAAAATTTTATCTTTGTATTTAACTGAAGGTACCTGGTTCATCCATATAGTAATAAATATCAACATCATTGGACTGCATTACAACAAAACCTTCACCCATCAGCCTTGGTGGCCTGTAATGGAAAAAAACAGGAAGATAAAGATTAAAAAGCAATGCACTGAAATTAATCTTCATGAATCCAAGTAATTTTAAATGCAACATATAAAGTATAATGGAAGAGATTACATAGGTCAGGCTCACTTTCCGCTTGTATAGTAATGCATATTTAACATTTTATCGACAAAACCAGTATCTTTATCAAGCAAGTGAAGATTCCAAAAGGCAGCTGTCATATTGCTAGGCTACATCTACCCTGATCTGCAAAAAATATGTGATCAAGACATTATTATTATTATTAGAATATAAAGTAACTTAAAGGTTTAGTTAACTCAAGCATGAAGGTACCAGGTTCCTCTACACAAAGACACTTCTCAGGTATTATAACCCACAACAACTACCAAAGTTTCACGCTCAATGTTTCCTTCCATCATGAGTTCCTTTCTCCTTGTCCTATATAATTCTTCCACCTGCTAATTGTTTTCTTACTAAAATAGCACTCTAAACCAAAGGGACAAGACATCTTCAGTAATTAGACCATTAGTTTAAAAAAAATTTAAAGGAAAAAAAAAAACTCTGTTCTTCCTTAATAACATCTCCCTCTTAATATAAAAGGACCTAAGTGATAAAACTAATACACAAAACACCTCTCCTAACACTAATATATTGGTACATTGCAACCCCTTTCTTACAGAGTACCATACATTAATTTACATAATATTACATTTTGTAGTAGTAAAAATATTATAATGTGAAAACTCTATTTTAACTGTGAAAGACGTTTTTGCCACTTTTCAGCCACTTTTATAAATTGTCACTTCTTAACAACAACAACAAAATTCCAGTGACAAAAATACATGGTCTAAGAGTGTGACCTGTTAGAACTACTTTGCCCATTTTACCACAGCTCATTTCAAGCACAGGAAAGCCTGGAAAATACAGAAGAGAGCAGAAGCCCATGTACTGTCAGAAGTTCTTAAACAGCAACAGAGCAGGAACCTTAAGAACCAATTTCACGTCAAGACTAACAACAGCAGTGAAAGATTAAATACTTTATATTCACTTTCAATTTACCAATTATTTCTTTTTTGTACCCAAAATTGAACTGGCTTCCCCAGTGAGATGCAAATAGAGCAAGAAGCAAAAAAACAAACTGTTTAGCAGTTCAGGAATAGAAGTGGGAAGGAAAGTATTTAAAGCTATATAAATAGTAGTTCATAGGAAGAGCTCAGTTTATTCTGCCCACACTCCACAACAGGCACACGAAAGCCAGCAAGACTGGAAAGCACAGCATGGCACAGCAGCATGAACTAACGTCACCCTCTCAAGCTGAGCATAACACCAAGGGGGGCTCAAAGGAAGCCACTCGGCTTTGTAAGGCAAAAGAGGGGAAGGTCACAACACAACCACCTGCAAAACTTAGCAGCCTGACAGTAACTTGCCTGACCATACCTTCAGTGGGGCACATTTTGTCAAGCCAAGGCTGCGTTTCCCCATGCAGGTCAGCCAGCCGCAGCGCGAGCCAGCCTGTCAATGACGGCAAACTGTACTGACTCCCTGCTGCTCAATCTGGTGTGCGTTCTGGACTGTGAAATGTAGAGTACCATAGCTCTTTGCTATAGTGCGTTCCCCTCTCTGACAGCATGGGGTGCACAGGTCTCGAAACACTAAATGCAGATTTACCTAAGCCCACAGAAATACACTGGAGAAACGACATTGCTCTTCTAATAAAAATTACTGTAGAGTATGAATGCATAGGGTAGATTCCCCAATTGTTTACTTCTGCATTCCTAATAATGTTTACCTATACTGACTTAGTGTTTTAGATTATAACTTTTAAAAAAGGTTAATTATTTTATTTTAAATAGGATTACAAAGAGTTTTTGAGCTAAGCCTTCTTCAAGATGGACAATTTGACTTAACTCCATGGCCTAACAGATACTGCCATTTAGATGTAGGAAACAGAAATATCTACAGGAAAGCGTTAGGAGCTGACAGAAGGGCCAAATCCTCCTATGAAACATCCACTGCCACATCACCTTCATCATCTTTGTCATACTCCACTTTCTGGAAAAACATTACGAGGTCTAACACTGCATGCAAGTAGAGGAGGGGGTGGAAAACACAACAAAACCAAAACCACCAATCCAAAAAACCCACATGGTAGCTAACTGTCTTCCTCAGTCCTTCTCCTCCAATTCTTTTAGTGTAATTCTTTACCATTTCTGCATATTCCATTAAACGCTTTTCTTTCTTGCTCTTGTTCTGATCTCTCTGAAGTAATTAGATTTTAATAAAACTTTTTGCCTGTTCAGTGTGGGTTTTTTTCCACAGAGGAAAGTTCTTTTCTGTACCATCATGCCTTGTCACTAGATGTTTTTTTATTCCCTTTTTAAGACGAATATTAAAATCTGCATTAGATGACTGAAGCAGCGTATACCTTTACATTATCAAAGCATCGCAGGCCACAGCCAACACAACACACCAGAACAGCAATATTTTTTCTTATGCCAGTCCTAGGATGGTCACAGGTTAGGTGATAAGCAGCAGCAGAACCGATTTAGACCAAGACCAACACATATTGGGTTGGTCCAAAAGTCATTGCAGTTTTTTTTAATAGATGGACATACAAGTCTTGAAATGTAACACACAAGTTTGGTCACTCATCAAAAATGGTTGCAGCTTGGATGGGATGTGTTACCACACCCACCATATTCACCAGACCTGGCACCATCAGACTGCCATTTGTTTTGTTCTTTACAAAACGTCTTGAATGGTAAAACCTTCCCTGCTGATCATTCTTGGACCTGTTTTTTGTCAAAAAAGATCAGAACTTTCTTGAGCGCAGAATCATGAAGTTGCCTGAAAAATGTCAAAAGCTAATTGAACAAAATGGACAAGATATTGTTTAATAAAGTTTCTGTTTCCTGTGAAAAACTCACCTTTCATTTACCCAGGAAAAAACGCAATGAGTTTTTGGCCAAACAAAATCTTTCTTAATAGGGATAATTTCATGATCACTGTTCACTGCACAGCCATGCAAAAAAAGACTTCTTTCAGCTGTATTTTCATTATAAAGTGTACATGAAACTACCTCTGCAGAAAATGGGACAGGAAGGTACCTAACGAGGCCACTTAACCCACCCTCAGCAGGAGTAGTTACACCTTGCCAGACTTAGCTGGTGGAACTCCAGAAACCACACCACAGGTCATTTGCAAAAACAAATTAGGTAACAGCAATGAATGATAATGAGATTATCATCACTACTAAAAAGTATTTCCTATTATCTACTCTAAACTTCTGCTTTAAGCTTGCTGACTTAGTCACTGCTCTCCAAACCTGTTCTGTTTTGATCTGCTTCTCCTAGCATAACTTTTTTTTCCTTGGACTTTAGAGGATTTATTTGCAAGAACTGATTGAGTCATTGAGGTGTCTGTTTGTAATATAATATGACAGTTTTCAAGTGGGTTTTTGATGTCTGTATTGATTAGTCAGTCTTACAAATTTCATCAAGCCACTTAGCTGTTTTTTATAGGCGTATTGCCTGCAGGAAATTCTGAAAATTAAGACACCCAGCTTAATTTTTAAGCCAAAGAAGCGTTAAGAGGGCAGGCTCTAAAGATGCAAACATTCCCAGTTTCCAGTGAACTGGGTCATTTGTTGAATCTACGCAGCAAATTAGGGCACGTTTTCTGCACACATGCCATTCTTCAGCCACCACAAGCTGCAGGGATGGTAAGAGCATAAAGAGAAAATACTTAGCGGAAGCAGGAGAAAAAGCTAATAGTTTGAGTATCTTAATCCTATTTTGTTTTAATCTTGTTTGTTTTCAATATTAGTTTGAGAAATTTCCTTTGTTGTCATGTTGGAAGAGCAAAATTCTGTACACATTCACAGAATATTATTTGAAAATATATAAAGGCATATTATAGACATCAGTATTTGGCTGATACAAAGCCAATTAAGGTACAGTCAAATAATGTACAGCTTATTTCCAAACACTGTAATTCATTCTCTGGATGTTGTTGCTTAGGAGGTATAAAATAGGTATAATTATCTTACATTAACTCATACACATAATTGTTCAAGGACAGCATACGTTATTTATTTTTTGTTGAGCAAACAATGCCTGTGAAAGACCATGAAATTTAGCAGCTTTGTCCAAATTATCTGTTGAATATATAACGCTGTAAGCATTAAATAAGATAAAGCAGAAAGTTCTAGCTATGATGTTAATACCGTATCAATCAAGAATGTTAACAGAGTATGCACATAAATGTCCTTCTGGTTAAAGTGTAATAAAACAAGAAACCCAGTGTCAAATCACTTCATGCAGGCACCCTTTGTTTTGTTTGACTTAGGAACTACCATGCAGTTTGCTAAAGCTGCATAACCCCGCTTATGTGGAATACACAGAGGTAAAAGGATGAGCAATCTGTCTTCAAAAGACAAGAAGATTCCTACTACAGCAAATACTGCACACCTCTTACTAATTTTTTAAAAATAAAATAAGTCAACACCTTAAACCCTGCATTCTTCCTAGAAATTTAGTGCTGTCACAGCCTGCGTACAGCCACAGCACCTGAATGACGAAAAATAAAAGCTGAATGCAGGATATTAATCACAGAGCAGAACACCAAAAAATCTACAAGATAGAAAATCAGTACTTTTCTCCATAAATAAAATAGTTTCAAAGATACAGCATTTAAAACACTCAGAACAGTAAAATTGGCAACTATCTAAACACACTAATAAAGTCAAAGAAACACACCCATCATTCCTTTCTTGGTTTTCTTAAAATAAAGAATAAAATAATACGGGAATAAAAAAACCCAAAAACTTACTCATCATTTTGAAGGCCAACATATCTTGGGCTTGGAACCAGCATGACTCTAACATTTTCCAATTTTCCTTTCACAATGTGCATAAACTGATCAAGGTGGCTTGAAGGTGGTTTTGTGGTGTAGGTCAAAAAAGCATCATCAAAGTTAATACAAAGTGTTTGTGGCTGATAATGATTGCCAAATGCCAAGCGACCCTAAATCAAAAAGAAAACCTCATTACTCGTTATATATTGCGTTTATATAAGTATCTAACTTACCTACAATAATGCAGCTTAACCATTCATATTCAAATAAACACCGTGGACAAAAATCCTGGCCATAAACTGTGCATATCGAAAAATACTACCTTGTACATTAAAATCTCAATATTCTATCTCCTATCACCTCAGTAACAGTCTGACTTTTTTTTTGGAGGCAGTATTAACTTTTACAGAACCTGTCCAAATACTCCTATTAAAAAGATGCAAGGAAGGAAAAAACCAACAACAACAAAAAAGCAAAACTTCCCACTCACAAAAACTCAACACACCACACATTAACACCCATTACCTAGCTTAATTACTTGATGATATTCTTGAAATCATTACAAGTCTAAGACACGAAAACAGAGACCGTAGCCACGTGTCCATCAGCAACAGCAGGATTTGTGACTGTGTCAGGGAAGGGAGTGCTGATGGTGTGATATAAGAACTTTTTTTAAAGCACCAAGGAGAACATAAACTCAAAAAGAATGTGTAAAAAAAATGAATGGCAAGCCTGATTTTTAAGCATATACTGCTAAATATTTTCATTATCAGGGTGTTTTCACTTACCGTGCTCACATTGACTTTAATGACTGGAATAAGTGATCTCCATGAAGAAGAAGGGTCTTGAGATTCTGTTTTTACCTTAACACTACGGAGGGGGAAAAAAAGCTTTTTATTATTTTGTCCTTCCTGCAGAACTAACCAACCTTTTCTTCTAGTGGTCTTCATTGCACAGCTCTCGGGGAACACTCCTTCCCACAGAGGTGCCCCATGTAAGAGACCTGTTAGCAGTCTACTGCAGACTCCTCCAGAGCCTGGCATACGCAGCTATGTCATGGATGCTGCTACACTGAGCTGACACAGTTAGATAACAAGCATGCCATGTTTAACAGAGAGCAACAGTCGCATAAATCTTCCTCAGGGGAACTTGGTCTGCTCTAAATATTCCTAAACCAATTCTTCTAGGTCTTTGGCATGGGATTTTTAATTTCCCAAGACACATCCTCCACTTCTTGTACCTGTCAATAAGGACATAAGATGAAAACATGGCTGTTTTCAAGCTGGGACTTGCCTGGAGGCTCAGCCCCTACCCAAAGTCAGGACTGCCACAGCATCTCACAGCTGCCCTCTATGTAATTCAGTAACATGGACTGGTCTGGCCAGCAGCAGCAAAAGGGCTCAGGTCTCGTTAGATCATCTCTGCTCCTGCCAATACATCAGTTCAGGGTGATTCTCCCCCAAGAGAGCCTTATTATTGAATACCTGACTCCACTACACATACGGCATGTAGAACAACTCCTTATACACCTGCACCATGTTTTCTGGAGTATCCCAAAAAGAGAAATAAAATAAGAAAAGGTTTGTGTAGCTATACAGAAACACACCCACCCCCCTTAAAAAGGCAACTCATGAAATCAGCTCCAGTTTAAAGCTCAAAAACCAGTAAGTTCTCCCAACACCATAGAGATCCTCACATTTTGCTATTCAATGTCTCGAGCAGCTATTACTTCTACTCAGCAATACCATTATTATTCTGCAAGCATAATCCTCTTCAACACATCCTCCCTTTCCACAGTGTGCTTCAAATAGATCATTAAACAAGGGGTTTTGTTTGTTTGGTTGTGTTCTTTAATTATTATAGTAGGAAGTCTGAGGGAAGGAAAAGGATTCAGACTGTCAGGCTTGTCAGCGCAATTTCTCTCTCAGCTGTGCTTCACCCATTTGGCTTCCAGAGCATATGTTAACAAAACATCACCCAATTAGTTCTGCACTTTGCAGAACAAAGCATCAACAAAATAGCAAAATGAATAATACTTTACCTTTCAAGATTGGTATGTGTTCTTTGCCTCCCATTTACTTGTGCTTTTTCATCATCTTTCTTTGCTGGAATTATTGTGGGATCCAAGCCAAATAATTCTTGAAGCTGTCCATAAAGCTCAGAACGGTTGTACACATGAAATTCAAAGTCATTCACCATAATATACAGTCGTGTTTCTGCCTTTGGATCTAAATAGATAGTAGGAAGAATTTCAAATTCTATTCCAACATTCCTTTACAATATTTACAATTTTTCCAAATATGCACATTTTGCAAAACCAACCTACACAGTAGTGAATAGCTGCTGTAAAAAAAAAAAAAAGCAAACCACAAAATAATTACAGCATTTCAAGCAAATCAGTAAAACTTGACCAATAAGATAGTTGCATACAATATATAAAACCTGAAAGGCTTCTCATCCTTGGTCACATGCCAAAAGTAAATCCAGACCGGAGCTGCATAAAATGGTAAATGAGGTTTATTCCGTCTCATCTATAAAATCTAGCAAACAAAAATTCCTCTTGATGCACAGCACAGAAGCCTCAATGCCAACCTCTGTTTTTTTAGCAGATATCGGTACTTGAGACCAATTCAATCTCAAAAACCAAATGGCTTTTTAGCCAAGCTCTGTGGTACAGCAGGCCTGAAACAGGAAAAAGCTTTGTTTTACAAAGAAACAGAAAAGATTAATATGCAGAACTGACAAGACACAAATTAATTTTGCACAACTGGTCAACATTTTCATAAATTTACAATTTTAACTGTAATATCAGCTTCACTCACCGACACTTAAAAACTAGTTTAACATCTGCTGCTAGCATACAGAGCTGTTTGTGACATACTTTGACATACTTTTGCCTCAGATAATATGACCTAATTATGTAGTTAATGTGAGGAGAAAGCTCACATAATTTCCCCCTAATCACCTAGTTGAAAGAGTGCCCATTACACATTCACTCAAGAGACCTGAGCTGCTCTAAAATCTGGTCTGGTCTTTCTAAGTCAAGCAGACTTTAGGAAGCTGAAGCATCAATGGTTACTGCAGCAGTCCCCAGTCTGTAACTCAGGGGGTACAAACTGACGGCAACGTTTTCCCCAGGCACTAGAAATTAAGAAGTCAGAGCAAACACTGCTGCTGTCATCAGGGTCAAGAAAAGAAAAGCAGCTGCCCTGGAGCCAAATTTTAGAAACACCTGCTTTATTAAATGGATCCTCTTTCCTAACAAACTCATCTGTTCCCCAATGTTATGCATCTATACAATGCTCTGTCCCAACAACAGCAATTCACCTTTTATTCCTCAGCCCTAAACTACCAGCAGTTTCCATATCATTATAAAAACAGTGTCAGTGCTTTCTGGAGACTTATTATACATCACAGTTTTCTTGAGCAGAAGACAGGGAGAAAGGGTAATGAGCCAGTTTCAGTTCATTTCTGTTTTCATAAAAGCACTATCAAATCAGTTTGTTGGTCATGTTAACTCGCATCAGTAAGATACAGGCAAAGGATGACATGGACAAAGACTGAGATACACAATTGTTCGCCTGGGAGATCACAGTATCATTAAGAACACAAATGAATGTAATTTTTCAATTCCTGGAGGCAAGCATTAGACTTCATTAACTAAATGAAATCATATGCAGTAATTCCTTCCTTTAAAAGGGATTTAAAGAGACAACTATCTCTTTTTCCTAATAACAAAAACAAGCTTTGACCTCCACGCATCAATTTTGCTGCCTAAAACACTTCTGGAAAGAAAAGGGGAAAAAAAGGCAAGGAAAAAGAGATAAGCACATCTGAGTGTTATACACTTAAATGATTCAAAGCAGCGTATATGTAGATCACGTAAAAGTAACTACCAGATTGATAGCAAGATACTGAAGTTTTATCAACATTTGTTGGAATCAAGGTTGACTAATGTAGCCAAGGTTTACCTAACACTGTAACACTACAGAGTTCAATCAAGACATATTATTTAGTGTTAATTTAAATGTTTATATTACACCTACCCAAACAATTAAATGTAAATATTGGGAAGAATATACTACAACAGGCTAAGAATCAGTGAATGTTTTTTTTTCCCTTAAAATTAAAAATGAAAGCATCTCTGCTAAATAATCAAAACATAAAGTGAGCAAGATTATTTTTCCTAGGAAAAAAAAAGAGTAATTATTTAAGAGAGTATTTTATTCATGTTACTTTCTCACCAGATCTATACACCACCGATCTCCTTGGTTACTTGGATTATTTGTCCACTAGCTACGCAGTCCTAAATGCCAGCAGAAACAGTTAAAGCCTTGCAATACTGCCAAGCAAAAATACTACCACAAAAGACAGACATAACTATCTTTCTCGCATCAAGTTAAATTAATTTTTTTCATTCTGTGAGTCACTAGAGAAATATGTTTTAACTGGTAGATGAGGAAAATCTATGAAAATCTGTTGGATAATAACCTGTGGTTGGAAAAGTCTAATTAAATCTAAGACTAGGTTCCACTTTATGAATTAGGCTTCTTATGGTGTAAAGAACTTGAATTGTGTCCTATCACCTTAGAGGCTTAGAAATGCCTCAATAAAAAGTGAGCAACTCTTCCTAATTCATACCCCTATATTGAACGGTGTCTTATATTTACCTGCATAACACATATGCAGTACTCCTGCAACTGTTGAGTTGCTCCTGACAAAGCAACAGTTGTACAAGCTTGCTGACAAGTCTAAGAGGCTTCATATCACTTCCAAAGGCGAGATGGGAAAAAAAGCCCTCCAAAGTTCAATGACCCTCTCAACTAATGCCCTCCTCAACTGTAGACAGCTGCAATTTCTGGACCTCCTTCAATCACCAATGGAGTTGTGATGCTTCAAAAGTTAAAAGAGGCAGGACCTAAGACTCTAGGTACTAATCCTATAAAAGACTAAGCACACACATCAAAAGCCTACTTATGTTTTTTCATGGTGTTTTCTGCAGATACAATTAATCTCTTGCATACAATAATCGTCCTTCTTCAGCCATAGATAAGGAAGAAAAATAAATGAATTCTTCACACTTCCCCATTTCTATGACTACAGATGTCATCAATACACAGCGTTATTAAATACTAAGAACAACCTCTACCATAACACTTTCACTAAAATACTGATAGCATAAGACTAAAACTTGAAAATTAAAAACATTTCCAGAACATAAGTAGTGTCTATCATAGTTATAAACATCAAGACAGGGTCAATTACGCTTAGACTAAAAGCTAATCAGGACTGCTATTAAGGTTAATGGTTTGTCTTAAGAAGGGTTCAAGTCCCTGATAATGAATCCTGTATTTATTTATTTGTGTTGTTCCAGTCTACTAACACAGACCAATCAGTTAAAAGTATCCATACCTTCTGATGATTCAGTGTACCCCAGGTACACATCCAGAATCAATTACCTGCATGCAATTGTGCAAAGGAAGCTTTTTCTGTAGGCTACCTATAAACTTAATTTAAACTTTGATACATTTTTGAGAAACCTACCATGCTGTTTCTGCTTAGGGTTGTACATCTTCCACCAGCGAAATATGATAAAACCGTCTTGAATTCTAAAGCAAACAAATTAGATAAAACAGAAGTTAAAGAGTGATAATCTAAAATCCTCTGTGCGGCTGCATGACATGATGCCTTACGCACTGCAAAGACCTGCAGTTGCAGTAGTGTACAAGTAATGTACAAAGTGTAACAGCATAAAGCATACAGTTTAATATTATAGAAGTACTCCATTAGCTGAAACTTGTATGAAAGCCCCTATCTATTGCTTTTCTGAAGGCTTTCCAAATTTAACAGGAAGAATGAAAATTACAAACTATTCACTAGTATGAGATTATGAAACAAATTATTCTCAGTTCCAATAAACAAATACAAACTACTTGGCCAAAATGAATCTTCTAGACTTAAGAGCGGGAGCATGAAGGTATGAAAGATAGTAACGATAAACAGTTTTCCTTCAAAACTCTATTTTCTTCTACAAATATTAAGGGGAATTAGATTCTTATCCCGTACTCACTTTCAATTAATGCTCAAACACCAAATGAGCTAACAACACAAGTATCTAAAAATATCTAAATACTATCATCAAAAGAGCCAGTTTATTTTTAACATTAATAACTATATTTATTCCTCATTTGTAAGACAGTATTTTGATATGTGTTATTTAGAAATATAAATTTACTGTGTTTGAAATCGCTATTTAGAAGTGACTCCCTTAGAAATCTGTACCTGATAGACATGTCTTCTGTGATGAAGTAGATTTCACGAACCATGACTTTTCCAGACAGCACAGAGAAAGAAAAGGAACCTAGTGTGAAAGAAAGTGTCCACAGGACGTTAGCCTCAAGTTGTTGATGCGTTACTTTCTGAACAGGAAGATTATAGTATTCAATTATCTGAAACAGGTTTACTGGGTATCTTGGGCATCCCTTTAAAAACACACTGGCTTTCAGAGGATAAGAGAAGTCAGAGATTCAGAATATTCAAGACAAGAAGATCACAACTGTAAAAGATGCTGGGTTTGGCATTAGCCAACCCACTGAAAGACACCAGTCACTCAGGAACATTCAGGGGCCCTGCAAAGCTTGTGAAAAGAGCTAGGAAAGCTATTTTGAACATTTGTAGTATCCACACTATATGCAAGACTGCAATCAGAGAAATAAAGATTCCTGACAAAAGAATTTTTCAAATTTTAAATGTCTATCAAGTTTTCAGTCCAATTATTATGACAAATTGTGTTTACAACAGGAAGGATTAATGAGCATAAAAAGACCAGCAGGGAATGCAATAGCCCATATTTTTCCTAATGCTTTTCACTCACCCACAGAAAGTTAAGTAAACCTTTTACTTTTTTTTTTTTCCCAAATCAACATTAAACAGTTGAAGCCAAGCTGTAAATCATGGGATTTAATTAATGTTATGTTCTTCTTACTGATCAGCTTTACAAAGAACACCACACATTTGGCTAGCTATGTCCAGCTGTCTTTACTTAACAGCAATTTCACAGAGAAATTTTAATAAAAGCCTGTAAATCAAGCGTAGCAGCCAATAAGTATTTCATCTATATTGCTGTTCAAAAAGATGGATTTGAAGATAGTTTGGATTAAAGTTCTTAATTTCTGGAAGACACAAGCAAACCATTGCAGGGGTCTCTTTGGCAGGCAGATGTGGGTGGGTGCTGTGGTTTAAACAGCTGCTCTGTCACCCAATGACTCCTCCCCACCCAGGGAGGGGAAATGGGAAAAGGAAAGGAGACCCAGGGGTTGAAATAGAAATAAATTTAATAAAATAATAATTGTAAAACCTAATATGAATAACAGTATTAACATAAAGTACACATTATATTTAGAAGATATAGTGGGGGGAGCAGGCCTCAGGGGTAGAACAGTAACTAAGTCCCTCTTGAGATGACAGCCATGGAATAAGGATGAAGGGCCATCCCCAGAAAACTCCCCAATTTACAGTCAGCTGACATATATGGTATGGAATAATTTTCACTGGCCAGCTTGGGGTCAACTCCCCTGGGTTTCTGCTTCCTCCAGACTCTGCACCTGTTTATCTCAAAACTGGAAAAGACCTTGATCATCATATAACAGTGCTGGCCAAAAAGTAAAACAAAGTGCTTTATCACTTTGTTTCCGTGAATCGGAGTCTTGCAGTCCTTACAGAACTGCAGTTTTCCTGAACAGAAAAATGACTCTAAAATTCTGTCCCCACAATCCAGGACAGTAGGGTTTTCTCTTTTAAGTTTTTACTACACTTATGACTAACAGTTGCAGAAAATGTCCAGAACTGAAGTCATCATCATTCTGGAAAGCAGACAGAGGAAGGCATGGAAGAATAAATGAAAGAAAATTAAAAGTGCAGTCAGAGTGAGGTTGTGGGATACAGCCCTCTGTGACTCAGCATCAGATATTTTTGTAATGTGGGTGAGTGCCCAAGTGATTTGTACCGACCTGTTTTATGTAAAAATGTTTTAAAATATATTTTTAAAAAGGAGAAAAGTTAATAGATTTTGATGCAAATGTTCTAGCCAGTATAAATTTCACATATCACAGTTCCAGTGCACATCAACACGTTTAGTTGTTCTGACAGCTTATTTAGAAAGCAAGGGCACTGCCATAACAAGGAGCTAAGGCTTGAGACTCCCCTTTGAGCCCACTCCAGCTGTTACTGCCCACACTTCAGATCCTGTATAACCCACCTCAAAGGTGTGGGGGAGTGGAAAGCTGCACCCCTTAACACTAAATCATAAGGTAAGTTCAGAAGCACCTCAGGTAGGTTCCATGGGGCACCTGGGTCAATCTTCTCCTTTTAGGAGATTATGAGGCTTTGAAAAAGGGGTACTGGAAAATGTACAGATTTTAAGTACACAAAGTATATATACTAAAGAGAAAGAAGTAAACTCCACTTAATTAAAAAAACCTATCAAGTGAACTTTAAAATAAAATTAGTGACTCGAATGAAAAAGGGGGTGTTTTTCTACCTACACCAAGAATCCTCCCCTAAAGCATGATATTGAACTTTTCTTTAATTGAACTTCAAGCTTTTAACAAATTGAGGTATAATAAAAAGCAGTAGATAAACAGTGGCATTACAGTAATCACAACTTACCAATATGGATGTAGCCATTTTTATATAATCTGTTAAGAACCAATGTTAAAATGAGTCCAATGTTCCGGGAATTATAATAAGTTAGGTAGATAATCCATCCACAAGACAATATTGTTGCTGTTGAAAGATTAAGATGAATTAAAATATTTTTCAAGTATGATGGCCTAGATAAAAGCCTTACCTATTGCAACTATAAAGCACAACAACATTCTTCCTGTTCTCCAGAAAAATTTGAAACTCATGTGACATTTTAATGGGTGTTTTCAGAGAGAGATGGCATGAGAAGGGTGTGAAAAGATGGTAGGGGGAAGAATGGGAAACAAGAAGTTCAGAGAAGTATAGATTCTCCACTGCTCTTCCGTTCCCCAATAGAAAAAAAACCTGTCCTCCTGAGGACCTGCAAAAGGCACCACATATTTCATCGCATCACTTAAAAACCAAGAAGTTAAATTTCATAGATCAAATCATAACATGCATTATTCCACACAGTCATTTATTTCAAAATACCCCTAAAAACCACCTCCATGCAAGTTACACTACATTCCTTCTCCATTCTTCTCCAAAGTGTGAACTGCAACTTAAATTTCTAGTCTTTCATATCTTGGCACAGGAAACAACATTATCACATCTGAAACCATTTTGCCATACCCTGACAGAAACGTACAGTCCTTGAGTTAGCAGCAATCTGTCAACAGTTCAAGATGGAATTTGATAAGGATAAAAAGGAAATAGCAATCCAATGAAGAACATGTTAAAAGAAAATAAATTAGGTCTTGCTAATCCCCAAAGTAATTTTTACTTTAGTTGATTATGAGCTAGTAACCTATTTCTAACTACAAGGGTTCTCAAAGTTTCCAGAAGGACAAATCCAACAGGAAAAGGACTGCCAGGGAATGGACTAGTTCTTACTTACTTTACTGATAATTACCAGTTTGTTTCCAAAGCAGAGTAGGAAAGAAAGTAATTTTTGTATTTGAGGTATCATTACTCATTACACCAACTGAACTTTGCTACAGAACTTCTTCATTTATGTACACACGTTACACTCAAAAACTCAAGATTTATTGTGCCTTTTATGGGAAAGTTGAAGAGCAGAAAGGCATATGGGTATGATGCCTTCACTCTGCAGAGTTCAGATGATTACTCAAAAAAAAAAACCCATCATAAAAAAAAAAAAAATCACAAAAAAACCCCAAAACAACCTGTCCTATTACTGCCCCTTAGCTCTTTTGCAGTGGGATGTTTCACTGCTTTGTAACATTGTCTGTGCTTTGTTGAATGATCAGGAGAAGGTAGAAGAGAAAGACTTGCATGACTTTGTCTTTTCCTTACTGGAAAAACAGATCTAGTGCGGCTGAAATTTAGGTGGCTCATGCTCTCGTGCTGGATATATGAAACAAATCAAAACTGGGTGGGAGATTACACAGAAACAAGGCAGGGAAGGTGAAAGCCACACTCCAGGAAAGAAACTGCTCTTGGCACTCAGTGAAGGCATACTCTAAAGACAGCATTTACCTCCCCTCCCTTTCAGATGAGTAAGATACGTGCTGCTGGTCCTCTATCAATGTAGGGAGAAAGGTGGAATGACTCACACTTAAAGGGTGAAACTTAATTTGAGACTAAAGTTCAACTAGATACTTAACTTCTAGATACCTAAAGCTAAGAAGATACTCTTAAGGTGACATATACTGAGAAAAGTCAGCAAACGACTGCAGGTTTCAGGCACCGCAGTCCTAATCCACTGCCTTTTCCACGACTCTCACCTCTGTCACAAATTGTAGCCTCTTATTTTCCCTCATCAAATTTAGTCTCCACTATTAAGTGCCAGATCCTATAAACACTACTCATCTTACTATTCTTTGATTTTAAAACCTCTCCATTGAAACTACATTTTGGAAATTACATTTGGAAAGTTTTACTGCCTGTGATTTCTAGAAATTATCCTAGAATTGAGGAATAACTTTTTGAGGAACATGTTCATTCTGTTCACCACCTCTTTTACTAGAATCTATATTTAGCAGTTTCAGGATTCAGGAGACAAAACTTCTGACATCTTTTTTTGTTTTCTCATATCAGGATGCCATAGATCAGCAAATGAATGCAGAGGAGGAATGGATGATTGAAACTGAGTCAGTTAACAAATATTACTTTAATGTTTCTATCCAAACTTCACAATAACAGGAGCCTACCCAGCTTTTTCTGTTTCTTTGTGTCACTGTTTCTAAAAATATCAGGTGGTTTCTTACGATTGAAGAGATCAGCAGCTCCCCAAAACTGCATAACTGTACATAGGTAAATTTGCCCTTAGAAAAAGGGGAAGGACTATTTTATTTCTTCAAGTTCCACCCACCCTTCTGTGAAACAGAAATTTTAAAGTTTATTATATTCAAGCAAACAAGAAAGCTAAGCAAAGCATTTGGTTTAAATTATAGCTGTTACACGGAATGGCTTATATCCTGCATACTTTCCAAGCAGGATTACTAACTGTTTGCTCTAAGAATCCAGCGCAGAGAGGGACAACCAGAGAAAGAAAATTCTGCAGGCTGCATTTTCATTCTTTGGCAAAAGACCTGAACAACTGAAAGCCTCAAGTCAAAGCTTCCAGAGACAATTTCTTCAGACTTGTTCCGCATCCATTCCGCATTTTATCATAAGCAACCATCAGTATAGTGACTTCTCTTGTTTTCATCTTGATTACACTTAGATTTTTATGTTGAGTAAGAACTTTTCACGTCAACATATTAGAAGTGAAATAAATTATATTCTGAAAGCACCATTTGCTAATTTGCCTGTCATTTTCATTCATTCATTCACTGAAAATAATTCTAGTACATCAGTAGCTAAGAGATACTAATTTCCCAGAAATAAAAAAAAAGTATTAAAAAAAAAAGTTATTTTTCCATTGCTGCCTCTCACTTCAGATCCAAAATTCAAGGCTGAAAAGCTGGTAATATCTACCTTTGGAAAAGTCTGAATTCATCACATGCCTCTAGCACTCTCAGCAGCACCTGAATACAACTGAATTTTTATTTTGTTGTCCCTGGCCCACCTGTTCATAGATTCAGAAAATAAAAGTAGCTACATACAAATATAAACAATAGCACTAGTGTTATAAAAAATTAACATAGCTAAATCAGGCACATTCACAAAAACAGCCCTCAACCAAGTAAGTCATGGTTTGGCTTAAAGGCTTATTATGACTTACAATTTAGTCTCGAAGTTATGCATTAAACACAATAGTCTCTATATCACTATTCAAACTATATCATATTAAATGGCAGATGTACATATTGGTATAATGAAGTTATTGTAGCTGCCTGTCACGTGCTGCAATGCTAATCCCTTGTTATGGTATTACAATTAATCACCAGCTTACTCTGGTGTTAGGAAAAATTATTTCATGGAGAGTTCTCACTGAGTTCTTATTTCACAGATTAGCAGTATTAGAGCATAGTCCCTCGTACACTGGACTTATCTCTCATCTGCTGCAGCACAATTAGTATTGGAAACAGTTCTGTATTTTTTCTTTCTGAATTATTTAAGTAGCATTGTCATACTTCACTAAACAGCTGTATGACAAATAAAAATCTATTTCCAATGTTTTGATGTCATTTGGTAAGAAATTCTGCCAGCATTTAGCGCAGTACATTTAAATGTACACACACGCATGCACACACACACACACTTAACCAAATCAGAATAGACTGACCTTACCTACTAACAGCCAAACAACATTGGAGTCATGTTCTGTCAGGAAGTCTTCCAGCTGTGTGATACTTGGGACAAAACTATCATTTTTTCTTTGATCCATTGCTAAACTGTTTTTGTGCCACCACCTATAGAACTGAAGGCAAAAAAAACCCAAACAAATGACACCAAATTAGTAACAAGCACAGAACAGTTTGGAGAAATTTGAGTATGTACCATGTTAAACAATCTTTAACAGTCTGCTACACAGAAATATGAGTTTACTTGTTTTACTCCTTCAGTAATATCTTTATTAACTTCTCAGCTACCCTTTCTTCTACTCTAAAGCTCCAGAAACACTTCTCATCTGCTGAAACAGTTTCCAGACACATGCCTCTCTAAAACAGATTACAGATCAAAAGAATAACAGAATACGTTCTCCAAATTTAGCACCCTGCATGTCCTACACAGCATATAATAGCAAATAAATTTATAAAACCGCTGTACCGTAGCAGTAAATGAAACGGTAACTGAACATATGAGTAAAAATTAGTCTGTATTGAGCCTTCTAAGATTCAAAAAAGGCAATATGAGGCAATATGAGACTGAATCCCTGCATCCACGGAAGGAAAGGCCAAAGCAGACACTTTCAGGAGCTATGGAAAATTCCTATAACCTCCTAATCCACTGTGTTCGTTAATTCTCTTGCTTTAGGATGGATTTGCATCATCTGACAAAAAGAGACTACAGAGCGTCTCTGTTATAGAGAGCACAAAACCAGTCCTTCTGATCTTACACACTTATTCAAACCACTTGTAAGTCATCCTGCAACTGGGTTATATTAATTAAGTGTGATTAACAGGGAGTAGCTCAACTCAGTAACATCTGTAATTACACAGCATTATTTTACTTGCATTAGTTTCATCTGAAGTCTTCTCCCTTGGATGTTATCTGTCAAGCCTTCTTACAGGAAGATAAGCACTAATTCTGCTTTTCTTTTTTTTCCCATCTCCTAGCAGCCTGTCTTCCTGTCAGGATTCAACCTTCAAAAAAATATGATTAGACTTTCTTTCCTTTTTTTTATGAAGTCTCCGATGCTCCCCAACAAGAGCTGTATAACATAAAACTAAGTAATGCTGGTAAGACCTTAGTTTTCAAACAGCATAACATCTTTGGAATAGTCAGTATTCAGAAATGTTAACAAGAAAACTACAATTTATCCAGTTATTATTGTAATATCTATACTACTTCTCACTGTTATAACTTGAAAACAAAATGTGGAAGGAGAAGTTGAAAAAACCCTGCCTTGTTTCTCTCCTTGTTGGGTAAACACGGTACCTTGAACCAAGAGCCTATGTTTTAAACTAAAATATAAGCAGAGTCCCAAGAATAAGTGCTAGCAATTAGTTTGCTACCTCTACTATAAAAAGGAACAGAATGCAGAGGAAAAAACAACAAACAATCCCTAAAACACCAGACCTTGCTTCCAGTAGTGATGATAAAGAAGCTACTAACTTAGCTCCTTTACAAAGAGGAATATTAAGCATCACACACACTATTAAAAAAGAAGCCCTTGTTTTAGAAGGGATGTTACAGTGGCAAATTAAATCACACAACGGCACTGGGATCTGCTTTAAGACATTTACAGTACCTTAATAAAAACCCCACATGCCAATATGTAATGTACATATGAAGTATTCAGTATCATGAAGTAGATGATACCTCTGCAGGCAGCCTCTAAGAGCCCTGAACATGTGAATGACAGAGTAAATCAACACTTAAAACATCAAGGAAAAAAGAACTTGCTTTTTCCCTTTCTTACCAGCAGGGTCACTCTTTTGTGATCCAGAGGACCATGGAAGTGCTGATGAGGACTGCCTATCACCTTAACGAACACCACCACTGTTTAATCTCTCCAAAAAGCAACTTGTGGCTTTTTCCAATGAAATTATCACCCGATGTTACACGATACTGAGACAGTACATTAAATATCATTATGGTCTAAATAAGACTGTGGCACGACAACTCAGAGACTGCAAGTCATAGGATCAAGACCGTGTTCATAATTTTTTGTCACCACTGTCCATAAATTGGATACCTTTGGAAGTTTTCTGGAAAACATCTGCTATTTGCATGCAAATAAACTCAGGAATCCCCTATCAGTCACCATGTGCCAAAACATGATTTTATAGCTCCATGGTTGATCCCTTGACACCCTACCCCACTGGTGGGCACCCTTTGCCCTTGATCAAGTCACCCGAGGAAGAGGACAATGGCAATGAAAGTGGAACCATCCAGACACAGGCAGCAGCAACACCTGCACTAGGTGTGGGGTCTCAGTATGTGCCTCAGAGGAAGCAGGTGCTTAATCCATTTAGATGGTGGAGCAATTTAGGCCATATGAATTAGTGAAATAGAAAGGGGATGCACACAGAGACTTAAGTAGTACACACTGTTTATAATGTCCTTGTGCATTTTATACAGCACGGAGGATGCAGAGGCAGGATCGGGATCATCACGATTCTTAAGAGGAAGGGACACAGTCGTTTCAGAACAGATGTTAGCTACTGTCAGTAACCAGCATTTCTTTCTGGTGACAGTCCTGCATCTGTCTGCCCTCATCTTTTATGCCCTAGATGCTGTACCCATACATTTAAATCAAGCATACCTCTCAGCTGCCTGCACTCATCCATCCCCTGTTACATCTACTCCTATGGGTAAAATCACTTCACAATCAGACAAAACATGAACTGTTGCACTCTCTAGGAGCACTGACCCATAGCTTGAGGAGCTTGTAATTTACAGTCATACTGCTACTGTATTCTTCTGCAGTAACAGTATACTTTCCAAATGTTTGGGACTGCTCTTGGAAGGATGATACCCAAGTCTGGGTGGGAAACTGACTCACACCCACACCACTAATACAAGAAAGAAAATGTGCCAAAGAGGAAGAGAAACTCAGAACTTCACATTTACTGCTCTGCACTTATTTATAGTATTTTTTCAAGGTCTCTACTTGATGATGAGGCCAGTTAACAAGCCAGAATATAGTCCAATATTATATGATAAGTTGTTTGGTTTATTTGGCTTCCCCTGCCTTTCTCAGTCATAGCGTACCATGTTAATGCATACAAAACATACTAATTTTCTCCCGGAAGTAGGACAGGAGAAGAGGAAGATTCTGCGGCACTGAAGTGACAGAACCCCAGTACTCATATTTATCTTAACAGCAGTCCTTTAAGGAGTTATGTAGTCCTCTTTCTGCAATTGAGATAGCTGAAACACAGAGCAAAAAAGGCCAAATCCTTTATTTACGATGCCCAAACTGAAATACTTGGGGTCTGCTTTTCAGGTTGTGCATGTTTAGAGTACTTAGTGCGTTCAAAGCAAACAGGCTTGAAGAGGTGAGAATCGATATTGCTGTAGATTTGCTCCCTCTGGCCAGACAGGCTTTATTTATAGCAGAAACACACACTTAACAGACATTTAAAAAAATGAATTTTAATTACTTGTGTCATATTAATCTGTTTTTCTGAGCACTAAAAAGATGGAAGTGATGCTGTAGTCCTGGGTGGATGCGCTTCATTTCCCAGCCTGTTTCCAGTATTTTAAACTCAATCCAATTTTCACAGTAAAGTATTCTATCCCTAAAAAGCCAAATACTCAAAAGCAGCTGCTTAAAATCTTTATCAACATATTTCAATCTCATCAAATAGGTAAACTAGTTTTAACCTCAGCCTGACACATTTAACACTGGGAAGAAACCTCTGCTTCAGCAGTCGTTAAAAATTTACAGAGAGCATGCATATATGAAAGAGTTGACCAAAAAAAAAACACAAACCAAAACCAAACCAAAACCAAACCACATCAGAAGCCCTGTCACCAGGCTCTCTGTCACTGGAGAGCAGTTCTTGGCAGAGACAGCTGCAGCCAAGGGAGCAATAACCCACCTGTAAAAGCTCTGTCCTGTACCTATAGCTGAGAATGAAAGCAACAGATACTTTATCCAAGAGTATGGATACTCTTTGTGTGCCCGAGAGCATCAGGGTAATATGGATCTTGGGCTACATAAGAGAAGGAGGAAGAAAAAGAAGTGTCTGTTTATCAGAATCTTTCTAACACACTTTTTCTGGCTCATTTGTAGAAACAGCTGAAAAAAACTCTGGTATCCAAAGGTGGGAAAAAACCCTGGCATTTCATAATATTGAAAAGAAACATTTCTATACAGTTAAGAAGCAGGTAAGGTTAATAATGGATGCTGCCGATCCCCTTATTATTACTAGAATTCACTGGGGCAATAAACTGGTAATTTAAATCTGTCCCAGCTATTCCTCACATCTTCACAGAAATCAAGTGTTTATAGAGTATTTGTTAATTGATATTATTAGAGGTTAACAACCACTCTGAGGATACTCAACTCCCACGTTCTACAGCAATTACAGGACAGTAGACTTACAATTACACCATAAATGACTGATTGAACAACAGGAGGTAAATTCCCTAGCCTAAATAAATGAACATAGATAACATGCATGGATGCTTCACATCTCCAGTAATGGACCCATACCTATGACTATTCCTTAGAGAAAAGGAAACAAATGGCATCTTTACCTCCTACTCCCTCCATCGCTTTCTTGCAAGGGGTCTCCAGCAACAGCTGCTATGAAACCAGAGCTTTCGATAATTAAATATTAGAAAGGAGTCTCACAAACATAAACATGGCTCAACTGGATTTTCCTTTGAAGGTACAGTGACACTGTCAGCACCCAGGCTCACACCAGGCACATTTTGCACATCAAAAAGCTGCCAACCTTGGCGTCTTTCCCAAAACACTCCAGCTTGGTCCAAAGACTTCAAACCCGTCCCAGCACAGCTTAGGAAGCTCAGCCATTCTTTAATCAGCAAGCAAGGAAAAAGAGGAAGGAAGAGAAGGAAAGTTGTTCTCAAAACACACACATACACAAAAGTTAAGCTAAGTGACATAATTCTGCCATCTGACTTGTTGCATTAACTTCATACCTTATATCAAATTAAAGATTAGCAGTTCTTTTTTTAAAGAAAATAACTATGATTCAGGCCTATTTTCTTCCTTCTCCACAACTGCTAGTAGTAACAATAGCAGTAAACTGTACACAAACTGAACTACTGCTG